CATTACCACTGCAAACCAAGTAATTGTCAAGACTACTTTTATCCGATGTTCATTTGTTGTCCTAATAAGGACAGATTTAGAGTTTAACATCAGAAATAAAGTAAAGATATTACTCGAACCACTGAAAACCATGTCACATTAACAGATGCACCAGCATATATGACAGTTTTTCAACAATTAATTTCTATTTGATGAGCAAACATGGTTAATAATATAACCATGTGAGCACTTAAACAGAATTCAACTCTACGAACTAAATACATTTAAACCTAGGTCTATGCACGAACCAGTAAAGATTCAGTGTATAAATGATTTTAAAGTAACAATAGCAAATGTATCAGATCCACGATATAGGCTAAGATCAACTCCAAACAGCACAGATTTAGGAACTGTTAAGTTCAACACTACACACAAACTAATACAATGACACTGGGAGCCGAGAAATGGTCAAGACCACTTTCAGCCGACCATGACTCAAACTCACAAGTACAAAGTAATCGTTGTAGTAATGAGAACATTTCAAATCCATTTCACAATATAAGCAAAGTAACTGTATTTCAATTCTTAAAAACAGCCTGGCTTTAGGGCACAGAATAATAATTTTCATTACTATAACCAAGTAAGTACGATGTAACCGGGAGTTGAGTAATGGTCAAGACCACTCTCAGCCGACCAAGACTTAAACTCACAAATACAAAGTAATCATTGGAGTAATGAGAACATTTTCAACCCATTTTATAAATAGCAGCAAGTTAACTCTGTCAATTCTCAATAAAAGCCTGGCTTTAGGGCTAAGGCTAATAATGTTCATTACTATAACCATGTATGTACAATGCCATTGGAAGTTGAGTAATGGTCAAGACCACTTTCAGCCGAACATGACTCAAACTCACCAGTACAAAGTAACCGTTATAGTAATAAGAAATTTCGAACTACATTTAAAAAAACCGGCAAAGTGATCGTTGGAATCGCTCAATAACAGACTGGCTCTAGGCCGAGGGTGATAAAATTGATTGCATAAACATGCCCTTACATTACCACTGCAAACCAAGTAATTGTCAAGACTACTTTTATCCGATGTTCATTTGTTGTCCTAATTAGGACAGATTTAGAGTTTAACATCAGAAATAAAGTAAAGATATTACTCGAACCACTGAAAACCATGTCACATTAACAGATGCACTAGCATATATGACAGTTTTTCAACAATTAATTTCTATTTGATGAGCAAACATGGTTTATAATATAACCATGTGAACACTTAAACAAAATTCAACTGTCCGAACTAAATACATTTAAACCTAGGTCTATGCACGAACCAGTAAAGATTCAGTGTATAAATGATTTTAAAGTATCAATAGCAAATGTATCAGATCCACGATATAGGCTAAGATCAACTTCAAACAGCACAGATTTAGGAACTGTTAAGTTCAACACTACACACAAACTAATACAATGACACTGGGAGCCGAGAAATGGTCAAGACCACTTTTAGCCGACCATGACTCAAACTCACAACTACAAAGTAATCGTTGTAGTAATGAGAACATTTCAATTCCATATCGTAATAGCAGCAAAGTAACTCTATTTCAATTCTTAAAAACAGCCTGGCTTTAGGGCTAAGGCTAATAATGTTCATTACTATAACCATGTATGTACAATGCCATTGGGAGTTGAGTAATGGTAAAGACCACTTTCTGGAGACCATGACTCAAACTCACCAGTACAAAGTAACCGTTATAGTAATAAGACATTTCGAAATACTTTTAAAAAAAACCAGCAAAGTGATAGTTGGAATCGCTCAATAACAGATTGGCTCTAGGCCAAGGGTGATAAAATTGATTGCTTTAAACATGCCCTTCCATTACTGTTAATAGTGTTAAGTTCAACACTACACACAAACTAATACAATGACACTGGGAGCCGAGAAACAGAATTCAACTACTTAAAGCTAGGTCTATGCACGAATCAGGAAATGATCAGTGTATACATGATTTTAAAGTAACAATAGCAAATGTAGCAGAGCCACGATTTAGGCCGAGTCCAACTCTAAATAGCATAGGAATAGGAACTGGGAGCAGAGAAACAATTTCAAATAACTTTTCTTATAATAGTAGCGAAATAACTCAATTCTCAGTAACAGGCTGGCTATAGGCCTGAGGCAAATAATGATCATTACTATAACTATGTATGTACAATGCCTCTGAAAGTAACACTAAGTATAATACTGCCATACAGCGAATTATGGTCAGAATATTAAAGTCTAGCCTATAGATTCATCTAATACATACTAGCATAAAAAGTTAAAGTACTTACCCCTCACCGTAGCAACAAATAATGTTGAAACTAACCTCGTCTGAATTTATCACAAATGTAGAATACTTACACGAAAGTCCAAATAAATGAAAACACTAGATTCTAGATCTATTTTGTCCATTGGAGTTGCCCAAAAAGGATCGGGTTGCCCACAGCAAATATGGCAGATGCCAGCACATTTAACGAAACATTGCGCATATTTTCTTTCAAAGTTTTAAGTAAGTTTGAAAATTCAAAGCGTATGTTGGAATTAAACACATTTTCAACTTTTCAGGATCGTGATCCTAGCTAGGTCTAAGTAGATCAACATCTAGATCTAGATCTACTAGAGAGATGAAAAAACAGACTTTTTAAAATACACTTCTGCTAGTTAGTGCGCACCGACCTCACGGAGAGCACTTTTTTGAAAAAAATGTGCGGGTTTACCTGGGTTATTTTTAGCGCACTTTAAAATTTGAAAATAAAAATCCTCAGAGCCAAAAGAAAAATAAATAATAATACTAGCATTAATTAATGACATATTTACTTACCCCTCACCGTCCCGGAACAAAAAAGGTTGTAACTATCCTCGTGTGAATTTTTCACAAGTGAAGCACTATACAACAAGTCCTAAAGTATGAAAACACTACTTTATCCATCGGAGTTGCACAAAAACGATCGGTTCACACTTGGCAAACACAGTAGACTGAGTACATTTTTACAAGAGTGGTCCTTGGTAAATGAACATCTAGATCTACTAAAGAGATGACCAAACCAGATTTTTTAAAATGCACTTCTACTAGAGTTTTTGCGCACCGGCATCACGGAGGTCTCTTTTTTTTTACTAGCGGGTTTACCTGGGTTATTTTTAGCGCACTTTTAAATTTGAAAAGTAACAACTGCAGCGAAGATAAGAAGAGTCATATGACTAACAATTAATTAATACTAGTATAAAAAATTAGATGTACTTACCCATCACCGTTCAGAAAAGAAAACTAGTTGTAAACAAACCTGGTGTTTATTTTTCACAAATGTATCCACAACACGCAGGTTCAAATGTATAAAAACACCTTCAGGAAACACAAGAAGCCAGCACATTGCACGAAACCGCGTAAATTGTCTTTCAAAGTTTCAAGTCAAGTAAGCTGAAGTTAGAAAAATCAAAATTTAATTTGTAATAAAAAAACGTTTTAAACTTTTTTTTTTGTAGATTAAAAAAATAACATCGACTAGAAATATGACCAAATAGCACCTTGTCTGGGCGCCAGAGGACGCACCATGACGTCACCGCCTGATTGAACTTAGTAAAAAAACGAATTAGCGGGTTTACCTGGGTTATTTTTTAGCACATTTTTAAATTTGAAAACTAACAACTGCGGCGAAGATAGAAAAAGTCTTATGACTAATAATTAATTAATCGTAAAAAAAAATTAGATGCACTTACCTATCACCGTCCAGGAGCAAATAAAATAGTTGTAACTAACCTCGTCTGAATTTATCACAAAAACAGCCACATCACGCAAGTCCTAATGTATGAAAACACGCTCATGAAGTAAGCTGAAAAGTTAGAAAATTCAAAATGTATTTTGTAATTAAAAAAAAAAAACGTTTTAAAAACTTTTTACGGGCGTGGTCCTATGTAGATCAACACCTACTAAAAAGACGACCAAAACAGATTTTTAATAATGCACTTCTATTAGAGCTTTGCGCACCGACCTCACGGAGAGCACTTTTTTTAACTTGCGGGTTTACCTGGGTTATTTTTAGCGCACTTTTAAATTTGAAAATTTGAATGGATTTCCTCCAAAAATCGAATGAGGATTACGTGTAAACGAATAGTCAGTGGTGTTTCTTCCAGACTTTTTTCTCCGGCGGGAGGGGGGGGGGGGTAGGGAGCGGAGGGGGAATTTGCTATTTTCGGGGAGGGGGGGGCAGACATTGATAAAAGTATATATTTTCTATATAAATTTCCATTTTGTTCGGGGGGGGGGGGGCTGTGGAATTTATTCGGGATGGGGGGAAGAGATGCCTGGAAGAAACTCGTGTAGTAATGAGAACAGTTTAATTTAAATCCATTTTATAATATCATTAACTGCCCCCCCCCCCCCGAATAGAAGTCTGGAAGAAACACTTAGGCCGTTGACTCCGATTTCAGCCTGCTTTTCTTTTTGGATTTGCTTCCGCTTAGCCTTTTTTTTTTTTACAAACCAAAAAACAAACTCGAAGGCGGCAGTTGTTTGATTTTAGAGTTGTCTCTCCAAGTGGGTTCGAACTCGGGACTTTTCGGTTCGGAAACCATGAGCTTAACGTAATAAAAACAACTTAGGGTCGTCCATAAATGACATCACACTCATAAGGGGGGGGGGGGGGTCCGTAATTTTGTGACGGTTTGTGATGGGGGGTGGGGGGGTGGGTGGGTTCAGATGCTGCGACGGTTTAGTTTTCAGTCACTAATTATGTAGTGACAATGATTTGTGTGTGCGTGTGACAAAAGAAAGGGGCATTTTGTAACATGGTCGACAAAACAAAATTAGCCCTAGATCTACTACTAGCGTAAAGGCAGTCTTGGCTACGATCTAACCAAAGTAAAAACTACCTCCCTCACTTTTTAATAAGCGCTTACAGAAGAGTTGAGATAGCATTAACTCCCCTTTAAAACTGTTCTTCAAAATCGAAATTACTAAGAGTAAAACCCGGATACACAAACATGTAGGGGAAATCACTCTGGAAATAATAGATTTTAGACCTACACCATACCACGTTCTTTGGCTACACTTACAGCTTAGTCATAACTGTGTATAACATCTTTTTTAGTCCAAGTCGCATATGCTCTTGGTTCTAAGAAATCACAATGGAGTATCTAGACAGCAGTGGCGCTATCCGAGAACAACATTATTCTCTAATGTAAGTTAATAAATCATTAAATTTATAAAACATTTAGACTTGGATTTCATGATTTAGAAGCCAAGGCAAGGCCTACTAAAAAATTTAAAATCGACTTAAAAATGAAGGTACGGCCGAGGCTAGTAATTTGAAAAGAAGGTACCTCATTTAAATTTTAGTAATTATTTCACATTTTAAGAAAGATTTATGTTTTGAAAGTCTGGAAAAAGTCTTGAATTTAGAAAAGTGAATTCAGACTTTCAAAAGTCTGGAGAATCGATAGATTTTTAAAAGCCTGGAATGCAGTTTTAGAAACAAAACTTGCCACGAAGTCAATATTTTCAAACTAACAAAAAGGCTAAACTTTAGTGAATTTACTCCAATTTTTTTCCTTGCATTACGTCTAGAGTCTAGAGACCAATGAATCACATTTTTTGTTGGATTGCAGAAGAAACCCGATTGCTTAGTTATTACGTCATTGGAGAAATGGAGATTGTTAGACCTCAGTCTTTTTTTTTTGTTGCGTGGCTGAATGTGTTGCAAGTAGGCCCTATTTAAAACCATTATTTAATGAAAGAATGATCACCCATATTAATCTTGACCTCTTTTTTTCCTTAAGTTTGTCTTAATGTTGCAGGGAGAATATAACAAATTATGAGGGAGGCATGTCAGTGGTAGTCCATGTATAGGCTTACTTTATGTATTTGTATACATAACTCACTAAAATAACCCGCCCCTCCTTGTAACTACGGTCACTGATATCTAAGTGTGAACTCACCATGACCCCCAAGTCCATAGTTGGTACTATTTGGCTGGGGGTATAGTGCAGTTCATGCTATGACATATTAGACAGGCTTACTGATGTCTGGACTACTGCGACCCCTCCACCATGTCTTGGGGGGGGGGGGACGGTAATTTTTAATATCAGACCAAACTTTTTCAGCTAAAAGCCATGTTATCTTTTCCTTTATAATAAAAGCAGATTTTTGCAATTTATTTTCTTAGATCCAAAAAATGTATTAAATTTACACAGATCCTGTTGTCGATGTGGCCTGCAAATAGAACCTAACCCTACAAACATGTGCGTTGACTGTCTTCGCTCAGATGTTGACATCACAGAGGATATACCAAAAACATCGGCTCTTTCATTCTGTCGGGGCTGTGAAAGGTACAAACATTTTAGCTACTGTTACAAATTAAGTATTGCCATTGCCGATCATTCCAAAATCTACTTTGCTCTGATGGGATTTCTTGACCACATAAAACCTTAGAATTCATGATTATAAAAAAATATTTTTTTACTTAGTAAGTATCTTTGCAAAATGCTGAAATTATATGCATTTTACATATATTAAAAATGGTAATAAAGCGGGAAGAGTTAGCAATAGCATTCACACAAATTCTTAACACTACTTGTTTTATTATTATTTGCATAAACCTCACTGCAGCTACCATTTTTATTCTTATTAAAAAAAAATATGTACATTTTTGCAGATATTTACAACCCCCTAATCAGTGGATAAAAGCTGGCTTAGAATCTAGAGAGTTGTTATCTATTTGCTTGAAGAAACTTAAGGGCCTTAGCAAGGTTTGTAATAGTGATTTAAAAAATCCATTTATATATTATTTAAAGCTATAAAATAAACCAGTCTTTTGTAACTATTCGTTGCACCTTTTAAAAAAATAAACAATACATCACATTAACTAAATGAATTAAGTTATATGTTTCTATTTGCAGGTTAAATTGGTTGATGCAGGTTTTGTATGGACAGAGCCCCACTCAATGAGAGTGAAAGTAAAGCTTACTGTACAGAAAGAGGTAGGTTTATTTCTACAGTAACCAAGAAAATAGTTATGTGCCTCAATTCAAAATGGGAACAAAAAGACATGTATAGATTGTTTAATCAAAGGATGTGTAGATATATCCGAGCTTCTCCGTGTTTGTGATATTGGTGAATTATATTGTGACGTATTTATAGTAAAAAGCTCTATGGCCCTGTATGATAAAGTAATTTGAAGTAAGAGCTATGCTTTTTAAAATCTCAACAGTTGCACATTTATTTTTATCTTTATGACATAGGATTTGAGATTCTTGTAATTTTTCTATAACACTAGTTTTTAATGCTGTTAGCTTTAGTTTAAATATTGCTACTAGACAAAAAAGCAACAACACAAAGTTGACACTCTTCCAATAGTCGTAAAAATTAAACTGTTTCTTTGAGTACTGGAGCATTGTGTTAACAATATAATATCAGCCATCTTTTCCTGTTTCCAAATAACAATTGCCACATGTTTTTAACGAGAATGATTTCCATTGAGGTGATGAATGGAGCTCTTCTACAGCAAGTGTTTGTGGTGGAGTATGTGATCCAGTCTCACATGTGTGATGACTGTCACAGGGTCGAGGCCAAAGATTTTTGGCGTGCTGTGGTCCAAGTCAGACAAAAGGCAAGTGACTTACTGTTTAATTTTTTTGTTTTATCGGCCAGTGTTTTGTAAAACAAAAAAATTTAATTTTGTGCGCAAATATTTTTTCTAATCATTATTATAGCTTTAAGTTATATAATAAATAATCACTATATCAAATCAGATTAAGATGTTATTTTATTGATTAGAAGTTACTGTAAATTTATTTAAAAAAAATTTCTACAGAGGTAACTTTTTCTTTTTTATAAATAGAAATAGAAATTCTTTTTTTCTCTTTAAGAAACATTTTCAACATGGATTTTGATGAGTGAATTTATTAAATTTTTGGTTCCAGTAATAATAATATTTATATTTTCCATCATGGAAAACCTGAATGTACATTTTATTTGTTGTCAGACTCATAGCTATGCATTCTGTTTCATACTTTTTCTTTAGATGGTTAGTGACATTACAGATGGTAGTTTTAAATACTCTTTCTACACTACACATTTTATGAATTGTACACAAAATTTTTTAATAAAGTCAACAATGCCGTTCTTTTAAGTGTGACCACAAGAAGACATTTTTCTACCTGGAGCAGCTTATCTTGAAACATAAAGCCCATCGCAGTTCAGTGAACATTAAACCTATGGCAGGTAAACCACCAAAGATCATATTGGTGTGGTCTGCTAATTTCTTCTTAAATTTTTGTATACGATATATAAAAAATGAATATTTAAACAGGATGGCATAAATTGCTTTTTGCAGCTAGGTGTTCTTTTTTTGGTTTATTTGTTAAATAAATTGATTTTTTTAATGCATTAATTTTATTTCTATGTAACAGTATTGATGAAGTTTTAATTTATTCCATATTTGATAGCCCAGATAATTTGAGGGGATATGCACAGTTTTTTCTCTATTTGTTACAATTTAAGATCTGAAGATCACAAAAATATACTCTGTTTCCCAAAGTGCTATTGAGGTTATTATAAATCAAGATTTTGAGTGATTTTTTTTTTTCTATGCACATCCCCTAAAAAATTATGTTAATATATGGGTTTAGGTTTATTCTACATTTTATAGGCTGTATAGGTGGAGTTTGTATAGTGTAATAGTCTAGAATTGGTGTGGGTTTGTTTGATGACATGTTTTTTAGACAATATAATAGAATGGTATTTGTATGACTTTATGTCTTGTATTTTCTCTAGATGGCCTGGATTTTTTCTTCAGTAAACAAGATGATGCTAGAAAGTTGGTTGACTTTCTTCAGACTTATGTGCCTAGCAGGTGATACAACTCATTTCTTACTTTGTTAAAGTTCAAGAAATATTTTAACTGGAGACATCACTGATGAAAAGACTGATTTAGTTTCCACTTTCATTGTATAAGCTATACTTTTTATTCTATTGGAGACTAAATAATGCATATTTATATTTATTTAATTTACAGTTCACATCATTAAATTCATCGTAATACGTCAAATTTTAAAATTAAAAAGCATCTTTAAAATTATTTTATACCATTATGTTTCCGAGAATAGTATATAGTAACACCTGCATTTTTCCAAATTGGTATGGTTACACGTTATTGTAGATTGTTATTCAATTTTTGTTCAGTTAATCAGTAAATCTATTTTTACAGATAGTTATGATTTGCCAAAATAATTCTTTTGTTGATAGTAAAGTATAACTGCGCAAATATGGTTAGTTACAGCATATTTTGACAAAATAAAAATATCATATTTTTTATGTATTTCTGGGTTTTAATTGAAGACCTCAGTGCGAAATGTACTTAAGTCACAAAACAACATTTTGTTTGTTTGTAGGAGCAACTTAAATAAATTCTTCAGTATTACTATTTGTTTATAAGATAAAGTTAAACTAGAGGAATAACGATCAATGCTTGGCTTGATTTTCACAAAAATGTGACTTAAGTACTTTTAGCACTGGGCTCTTCAATTTATAATAGTGGTTTAAATGTTGAGACTACAATGTAGGTGATAAATATTTGGGCAATAGTATTATTCGTTAAAAGCTTATTTTAAAAAATTATCAAAACAAACTCCTTTTTTTTTTTTGCTGCAAATATTTTAGGGTGTCGACAGCCCTGTTTTAAGAACTCTGAATTATTAACTGGATATTTTGTTCTTTCAGGTCTGTGACAGGTAAAGAGCTAGTGTCACATGACATTAGGAACAACAAGTACACTTACAAGCACACTTTTTCTGTGGAGATTATTCCCATCTGCAAAGTACGACTTTTATATATCTCTTAAATAAGACTTATCCTGTTTGTTAAATCACACTTTTATTTTGTTAAGTAAAATCTTTATCCTTCTTTTAAAGTAAGACTTTTATTATTTATTATATTTCTTAAATAAATTTTTTATCTGATCTCTTAAATAAGACTTTTATCCTGTTTGTTAAATCACTTTTATTTTGTTAAGTAAAAAACTTTATCCGTCTTTTAAAGTTAGACTTTGATTCTATTTCTTAAATTAAACTAATCTTATTTCTTTTATATCCTGAATAAGACTTTAATCCTATTAGTTAAATTAAATAAGACTTTTATATTATTTGTTAAGTAAACACTTTATCCTGCGAGATATTTTATAATATCCAAGCTAGAATTAATTCTGGTTTGTAGCATAAGATTCAAAATCTTTCTTAACTGCACAGAAATGTTTTTCTAATAGCAGAATTAGAAGTTATTCCTTTATATAAGAAATGTTTTGAATCCTTGAAGTAAGAATTTTTCCCCATAATAAAGAAACAAATATTCATCTTCACTGATTCATAATATATGAATATTTATACCGTAAAAAATTACAATTAATTGTGAAGTGAAAAGATGACTACTTTTTAGAACGATTGGTCCTTGAGACAACTTTTCTATTATTAAAATAATTGTGAAGTCCCAGCAAGATCCACAAGGAGAGTGGATAAGATGAAATATTTATCACGAGCTGACCCGCGACGTAGCATACACCGCTATCTAGTTGTTTTATTTTCTACAATTATCAACAATTCATAATTTGTGAATTTGACACTACCCCACCCCCCTGTCTCCCCCACCCCGCCCAGTGAAAGCAGCCATTTACAGACGACAGTGAAAATATCAAGCAGAACTTATCTCCACTTAGTTTCAAATAGTTTAAAAACTAAATTACCTGGCCCTAAATTTCAAACCGGCTGTACTATTGTAAACATTTGGAGTGAACCATAGCTCACCTGACAGGTGGGGATGAGGGTGGTGGCTAAGCTGCGTGGTGTTTTCTATGGTCTCCATGAAGAGAATTCTATATATAGATGTGAGGCATTTTACTGTAGTCTTGTTTCTATTGTAGGATCACATCATCTGTTTACCACACAAGACAGCCCAGCAGATGGGGAGCATCAGTCCTCTGTGTATTGTCTTGAGAGTCACCCAGACCATCCATGTGATAGACCCTAACACACTACAGAGTAAGTTTGATACCATTAATATGGCATGACATTACATAGTAAGTTTGACACTTAACATTACACATTAAGTGGGAAACCAATTCTATTGTGGAATCAAATGCCTAGCAGAGTAAATGTAATGTGCTAGATCCTAATACTAATAATAGGAATGCTACATCATTTTTGATTTTTAATTTTTATATTGGAGTGGGAAAGGGAGGGGGCTATCATGGGACCATCTTTTTAAGCTGACTACAACTTACTTAGCTGTACTCTCTGTCTCAGGGGCATCTGCCCCATCAAACCTGTTCTTAAAATCCTCAAACACTCCCCCTCCCATCGATGCCCTTAGAATCAAGACAAAATTACAGGATGGAAAGGATTCACATAGGGCAAAGAAATGAGGATGGTGAAAGACAGAGCAGGATGGTGAAATATGGTCAGAGAACCAGTGGCCCTTATATTGGTCTATGAGGACTATAGGACAAAGTTCCCCTTTCTGACCTAATGATCGATAATGCATTTGAAGTAGAGTTCATGTTTCTTGATCTCAGCATACGAAGTGATGGTGTGGCCAGCATTATTTCTAGCCACCTTTATTTTCTCTAACTTATCAGGTACCCGTCAGAGTTGGGTAGGCTCAGTGGCATCATGCAGACTCAATTACAGACCGAGATCCAAATTCAAGAATTTTGGATGGCAGTCAATCACTCTACCACTCCCCAGGGACAGAAAAAGTTGAACTTTAACAACTCACTGACCACAACAAATTGTTCTTTCTTCCAGTGGGTGAGCTGAGCTCTGCCAACTACTGGAGACAGCCCTTCCAGGCCCTGGTGTCACCCAAACAGTTGATAGAGTACATGGTCATGGAGGTGGACATTGTGTCTGACAGGGACAGGCCCTTCCGTCATAGGATGTCTACTAAGGTTTTTTTTGTTATTATTTATATTATTGTGTAGGCTTTTAGGACAGTGATTCTTAACCTGGGTTTGATGTACCCCAAAGATTTGGTGAGTCAGTCTTATGGGTTTGGTGGAGGCCAAGACACACCCAATTCAAATGATTAGTGTTCGGATTTTGTCAGTGAAGACGATAGAACAATTGGGAAGGGTTTGGTGAATGCGCATATGAAACTGGTGGTGTTGGGTACCTTAAAAAGGTTAAAAACCACTGTTTTAGGAGAATGTTTTTTGTGTTGTGATTTAAAATTGTATATTTAGCGGTAAGATTTTTAAAATAAAATTGCTTTGCAGGAATGATTTTTTTAGAAAATTTTGTTTGTTAAGAAACATTTGTAAAATTAGTTTTGTTGTTGGGCATAATTTAAAACATTTTATTTTAATATCCTGACAGCATGTTTTAGCAGATGTCTATGTGGCTAGGATGAGCGACCTGGGGGTCAACGAACAACAGTTCCACTGCCGTACACACCTGGGTCACATTCTGAAAGTTGGAGACACAGTTCTTGGGTAAGCCTTTAGTATTTGGGCACTAAAAAAAGTCTTATATTGCCGGTATTCAACATAAAAAGAAAGGATCATGTTTCAGCATGAAACAGCGAAGAGACAATATAAATAGATGTTACTTGTAGTTTTTTAATGAGAAACTAAAGAATCCACAAAAGTTTAACATTTTTATCCTCCACCTCTCCAGATTTGACTTCAGCAATGCTAACTTAAACCATCAGCATTTTGAGCAGATGAAAGCTGACAAGATACCTGATGTGGTCAGTATTTTTCAGTTGCTTATCTTAACAGGCTTTTAAAAAAAATTGACTCATAGAAATAACATATTGTTCTGGTTATTAATTTTTAATGCAGTATGGAAGATGTATGGAGTTACAGACTTCTGGAAAATCAATAGGTTTAGAGTTGATTTTTAAAAAAAACATAAAAAAAAAAAACAGGAAATTTAAATGGAAAAAAAACGTGTGTAGTTTTTAATATAAAAATAGTTTTAAAAAACATGGGTGAAAAGGCCTAAAGTAATTCTCCACTCAACATTTTTTTCACCTCATGCAGCATTGTGCCACCTTTGTAGAAAATCTTTATGTACTACTACTACTTGAGGGCTTCATTCTTCTACTGTATTCACGGGGGGGGGGGGGTCTGAGATTTATTTTAAGCACAGTATTAATAGGAAAGTTATCATGGCAGTGCCTAGTTCTCTGCAACTGTGGGGGTGGTAAACTCAGTTTTAGATTAAGTTTTACAATAATTTGTTGGGGTTCAGATCATCAGGAAAAGTTTTACTCTAAGATAATACAAATCATTCATGTTTACTTGTTTTGATGAGCTTGACACCAATGTTATAGTGTTACTCCTGTATTGAAAATACATAAATTTTACTATGAAAAGGATTTGATCTTCTGCCTTTAAAACTATCAACAACTGAGTTTCTTTGTTGTAACTTTTGATTCCTTGTCTTGCATTGTTAATGTTTCTAGATTGTATTTCATCTGTAATGTTAATGTTTTAAACTTATATTTTACCTGTGTTTCAAATGTTTGTAATCTGTATATTGGCTGTAATTCAAATGTTTCTAACCTATATATTAACCCTATAATGCATATGTTTCTAACCTGTTTATTTACCATGTAAGTAGAATGTTTGTAACCTGCAATTTAACCCTGTAATGCTGTGCAGATATTTTTAACCTGTAATTTAACTCTGTAAAGCAGATGGCTGTAACCTGTTTTAACATTGTAATGCAGATGTTTCTAACCCTCTAATGCTAATGTTTCTAACCTTTATTCAAACCCTCTAATGCAGATGTTTCTAACCTGTATTCTAACCCTATAATGCAGATGTTTCTAACCTGTATTCTAACCCTCTAATGCAAATGTTTCTAACCTGTATTCTAACCCTATAATGCAGATGTTTCTAACCTGTATTCTAACCCTCTAATGCAGATGTTTCTAACCTGTATTCTAACCCTCTAATGCAAATGTTTTTAACCTGTATTCTAACCCTCTAATGCAAATTTTTTTAACCTGTATTCTAACCCTCTAATGCAAATGTTTTTAACCTGTATTCTAACCCTCTAATGCAAATGTTTCTAACCTGTATTCTAACCCTCTAATGCAAATGTTACTAACCTGTATTTTAACCCTCTAATGCAGATGTTTCTGACCTGTATTTTAACCCTATAATGCATGTTTCTGACCTGTATTTTAACCCTCTAATGCAGATGTTTCTGACCTGTATTTTAACCCTATAATGCATGTTTCTGACCTGTATTTTAACCCTATAATGCATGTTTCTGACCTGTATTTTAACCCTGTAATGCAGATGCTGATCAAGAAAGTGTTTGACCACTCCAGGAGGTTGAGGCGTAGAAAGTGGAAGCTGCACAGGTTTGATGGTGCTGATGCTCTTGAGACAGAGAGTACAACTAAGTAAGTTGTTGTCTGCTTCAGGAAGACAGTCCCTTGATTGTCTACCCCCCTCCCCCAATCCATCTGTCTAGATTATATACACAGCGGTCCTGGTTTAGCTAATATGTAAAACAGTCCTCTTTTAGTCAGTAGTATTCAGAGCAGATCCCGTCTAGACAGCAATAAAGTTGATCCCATTTAGACAAATAGTATTCAAACAAGTTGTTAGAATCCTCACAACTAAAAGACATTTGCCAGTACAGTGGATGTTTCGACCCAAAGTCTTTCAGCAGCACACAATAGTGTGGTTAACTACTAAACAAAATTGACAAAAAGTGACATATTTTTGGACTTAGCTCGACAGTAAAAACACATTTTGTGTTTAAAAAACATGATGAAGAGACGCATGTTAGATCACTTTGGTGTTTTAGGGTAGGGGTTAGCGAAGTGGTATGGGGGGGGAGGGATTGTAGATGAAAGATACCTATTCATTTCAACCATCAGGTGCTTGAGTGCCAAATCATAATATGAGCAAAGACAACAATAGAGTAGACATCAACATTTAGACATATGTAGAACATATAGTATGACAATTGTAGGGTATTAAATTCATGATTTAACTTGCCCTGTATTTTTCCACTCAGAGACTACAATGATTTCTTGGATGATTTGGAAGAAGACCAGGGACTTCGTGAGAATGTCAATATTTTCAGAGGTAGGTGTTACCTGGTTGACCAGATTCCACTACTATTTCATTGGTGGTGTCATTGTGGTAGATTTTAGTGGTGGTGTAATGGTGGTAGCATTATAATTATATGGGTAGTATCATTGTAACATTTTATTGGTGGTGTAATTGTGGTAGCATTTAGTAAGTGATGTCATTGTGGTACTTGAAAAAGTGTTTTGCTTAAAGGAGCATGTTCAAAAAATATCTTTCTAGAAACAAATGGTAAGTTAATATCTCTGAAGTTTTAAAAATATTGAGTCAGAGTCATGAATCACTGATAAGTAGAGAATAGATTTCTCAGATGCACAAAAAAAATGTTTAAAAAAAAAATCAAATTGTGTTAAAATGGGAGATAATTGAGAAATATTATTTTGTGTTAAAAATATAAAATAATTGAAAGTTTTTTTTTAATGCGTCAAGAACCGGAAATAATTGAAAAACAAATGTTTGTTTGCTAGATCCCACCAAGATCTCTGTTGAAGAAGACACGGATGATGAAGGGGCTCCACAGATAAGCCTGCAGGAGATGCTGGAGGATCTACACATCTCTGAAGATGCCACAGGAGGAGAGGGGGCCCCAATGATGGAGTAGGCGTTGGTACTAAGGGGAGGGGGGCCCATTGATGGAGTAGATGTTGGTACTAAGGGGAGAGGGAGCCCCAATGAGACATTATTGGGAATAGAGAGGGGGCCCCAATGATGGAGTAGTTATTAGCGGGAATAGAGAGGGGGCCCCAATGATGGAGTAGATATTAGCGGGAATAGAGAGGGGGCCCCAGTGATGGAGTAGACATTAGTGGGAGTAGAGAGGGGGCCCCAGTGATGGAGTAGGTATTAGCGGGAATAGAGAGGGGGCCCCAGTGATGGAGTAGACATTAGTGGGAGTAGAGAGGGGGCCCCAGTGATGGAGTAGACATTAGTGGGAGTAGAGAGGGGACCCCAATGATGGAGTAGGTATTAGCGGGAATAGAGAGGGGCCCCAATGATGGAGTAGGTATTAGCGGGAATAGAGAGGGGGCCCCAGTGATGGAGTAGACATTATTGGGAGTAGAGAGGGGGCCCCAGTGATGGAGTAGGTATTAGCGGGAATAGAGAGGGGGCCCCAGTGATGGAGTAGACATTATTGGGAGTAGAGAGGGGGCCCCAGTGATGGAGTAGACATTAGTGGGAGTAGAGAGGGGCCCCAATGATGGAGTAGGTATTAGCGGGAATAGAGAGGGGGCCCCAGTGATGGAGTAGACATTATTGGGAGTAGAGAGGGGGCCCCAGTGATGGAGTAGACATTAGTGGGAGTAGAGAGGGGACCCCAATGATGGAGTAGACTTTAGTACTAAGGGGAGAGGGGAGTAGTTATTAGTGGGAATGGGGGAGAGGGGCTCTGTTGATGGTACATTGTAGACATAAGGATATATAACCAGGCATTTACTGGTGGATGATGTGATAGCATTACTAATAATGGCAGATAAAGTTTTAATTCTTGAAACTGTTAGAGGAATTGGGGTTTATATTACCCATTATTAAGATATTGTAAAAATGTTTGTATACAAGTTAACTGAAATAAGTTATTTGTAAACATTGTGTGTTTTATGCTTCAACCCTGAATTCACCAAATAAAAACAAATACCTTATACCTTTCCAGATTTGAGTAAATTTGTAATTTTTTTTTTTGCCAATAGTGTAGTTATATATGTAGAAAGTTTGTAAGGCAAATTGAGTGAGTTTTTTGTTTGCTTTTAACTGTTGACAAAAGCTGCAGAGTCAAAGCTAGTGTTCATGTAAGACAGTGTTTCTTAAACAGGAAGGCGAAGCACACTTAGGTTTGCCGTCGCCCCTCCTGGGACACAGGCAAATGACAAGAGCTTTCCAGGCGTCTCTGTCCTGTGCTAGTCTCTCCAACTGTCCCCAGGTGTATCCGATCTTCTTGGTGTCTTCTTCCAGGTCACGTCTCCAGGTCTTTCTTGGTCTGCCTCTCCTCCTGCCTTGTGGATTCCAGGTGAGGGCCTGTCTTGTTATCCAGGATACAGACTTCCTGAGTGTGTGGCCAATCCATTTCCCGTTTCTCTGGAGGATCTCTACTTCAGCTGGCAGTTGATTTGTCCGTTGCCATAGAACATCATTTCTGAGAGTTTTAGGCCAGCGAATTCGCAGGATCTTTCCTGAGGCATGAGTTTATAAATGGTTGTATCTTCTTCTTATTTATAGCAGTTATTCTCCATGTCAAACCATACTGGAGATGTGAATCGTTTCACAGTAAATTCAGTAATACACAATAAATATAAATATATATCTCGTTTTTTTTTGCCTCGGGAGATAATGGATTGTATAGGTTTTTTTAGTCTTGACGTTTAAACGATGTGAAAAAAATAAAAATAAAAAATATATTAACGTCAAAGGAAATATAGTTTTGGTTCCCCCAAACATTTACATCTTGAGAAAAAGGTAGAAAAAAACACTGCATCGATATTGAGGGTTGTATGTAATGTAAATGGTGTGGGGAGGGGTAGTGTGGAGTTGGGAGAAGGCTAGGTGCAGTGGTATGTGTGTTGAGTATGGAAGGGGTGATTTGAAGTGTTCTTGCAGTTGCGTGTATAATGGAGGTAGCCGAGATGGGTAAGGGTTCGATCATTATTGTTGACAGAAAAAAACCACGTGTTTTGTTTTTTATTTTTTGCTATCAGAGCGGCGGAAAAATAAAAAATAAAGCTTGAAAAAATTTCTGAAAATAAAAGCTTTTTAGAATAAGTGTTATTAAAAGTTGCACATCTAGAGGACTTGAAAATAACTTTTTGTGTTTTTTTTTCATGCCTAAATTATAGCCTGAAGTTTCACTTTTGTGAGACAAACATTGATTGGCTGTACAACTGAGAACTCCGTGATCGATCTTCTGAAAACCCCACTTTATAATAGTTTCTACTGAAAACTTTGCCGATAAATTTTAAAAATAATTTATTTTTTTAAAACCACTTGACCTAATTCTGCCATATTTTTTTTTTTTTTTTACATTTTCCGCATTTTTCAGTGATAAAATGAAAACAGCCAAATTGTTTTTGACTTTTAAAATTTTTGTGTAGTTTTCGAAAATATCAAAATAGACCAGATCTTTAGTAAAAGTCCGACAAAAACCTCACAGTAAAGTTTTTAAAACTACATTTATTTAAAAAACATGGCACTTGATTTTAAAAAATATTTTATAAGCTACTCGAGACATCACGGTTGCATCCCTTGGGTGGTGTGCTGGAGGAGTGGGTTGACGTTGTGTGGGTGGTGGTTGGGTAGGTTGGTTGTTGGCTGGTGAGGTGTGTGGATGTGAGGTGTGGGTGGTGGTTGGGTAGGTTGGTTGTTGGCTGGTGTTGTGTGTGGATGTGAGGTGTGGGTGGTGGTTGGGTAGGTTGGTTGTTGGCTGGTGTTGTGTGTGGATGTGAGGTGTGGGTGGTGGTTGGGTAGGTTGGTTGTTGGCTGGTGTTGTGTGGGTGGTGGTTGGGTAGGTTGGTTATTGGCTGGTGTTGTGTGTGGAGGGGAGGTGTGCTGTAGGTTGATCGTGGGGCGGAGGTGTATGGATGTGGTAGCATTTTGGTGGAGGTGTGTGGATGTGTGTGGTGGTTGGGTAGGTGTTGTGTGTGGATGGGGTGGAGGTATGGTGTACGGTAAGTAGATAATTATGGTGGATTTGGTGGAGGTGTATGGATCGGGTGGTATTATGGTAGAGGTAGGGGTGGAGGCGTGTGGAAGTGTGGGTGGAAGTATGTGATGAGGTGGAGGTGTATAGATAATGTAGAGGTGTGTAAACGGGGGACGGGGTAGAGGTATGTATTATGTGTGGGTTGGTGGGTTGGTGTGTGAATAGGGTGGAGGTGTGTGTGTGGGGGGTGGAGGCGATATATACGTAGTTCGACTATGGGGGTCATCGGTCTAGTGGCAGTGCTTTAAATATAAACTAGAACGCACAACTACTGAGAGCATGATAAATACATGTTGTTTTCGACTAGTTCAAGCATTTGTTGATGATGAGTTAACATATTGATATTATACGCCAACAACGACACGACGCATTTTCCTTTTGTTTTCCGATAACGCTAATAGCGCAGATTTACTGCTGGGCTAATTTTAGCACACAATTCTCGTGACGTGTTGCGTCATGTTGACATTGATCGGGGAAAAAATCTGGCTATTGCAGGAAGATAGTTGTAAACATTTCTCACAATAGCAGTACACGTTGTATTTTGTGTACGTATGTGACGTTAAAGTTCAAAATCCACATCCACATGTGCAGGATTCTAAATATGTAGTAACCCTTTTTAGTAATTTTCCATGAATTCTAGAATTCTACTAGATTCACCCAGATAGTTCTTTTTCATAGGGCCATCCCTAATGACGTCAATCTTTTAAAAACTATTTTTACCCCGCCTCAATACCACTCTCCCCACCGTCACACACCTTCCCTGTAAACTGACGTCACATCTCAAACATACCTCGTCCCTCTGAATTAAATTATTTTTAGCTGACCTCCGTCAACATTGAGTGTATTCATGCGTTAATTTTTGTTACAATTTAAAAAAAACCCACTTCTTTTAAACGCGAAATAACGGCTAAAATCAGCTTTTTATTATTACTTTTTACAATGCATGAGTATGTAGTCACAGTTTTTGAACCCGCCCCTTTCCCTCGTCAAACACAGAGTTTCTTCCAGGCATCTCTTCGGGGAGGGGGGCCTCCCCCCCCCCCCGAAGAAAGTCTACCGCCCCCCCCCCCACCCCCGAACGAGATGGATTTTATATAGTAAACATACACTTTTACTAGTGTCCGCCCCCCCCCCCCCCCCGAAAAATGTTGACCACCCCCCCCCCGAAAATTTCAAAAGCCCCTCCCCCCCCGGAGATAAAAGTCTGGTAGAAACACTGGTCATACATAATCATAATAAACCACCCCCCCCCCTTTCCAATAAGAGTATGACGTCATTTATAAACGTGACCTTACCTGCAACAACTTACCTGGACACAGGTGACCATCTACCTGTTGACAGCCTGACCCACAGGTAATGTTATGACGAAATACCTGAACACTGAAACCTACAGACCAGTGGTTCTTAACTTTTTTAGAGGTACCGAACCCCACCAATTTCATATGCGCATTCACCGAACCCAACATACTAGTTATATCGTCCACACTGACCAAATATTATCGTGAGTCATATAATGTGTGTTTTGAAATTCGTCTTACCCCCGAGACTGACTCACCGAACCCCTGAGGTTCGATAAAATTTAGGTTAA